TGGTTATTGAAATGTTATACATAGTTGAGACTTGCTACATTAAGTGTGCGATAGTATGAGCATGTTGTTAGGTTTGATATTGTTGAAGTATGCCTATTTGATATTTTAGGTTGTGAGCATATAGAAAGCTTTGTGTTTTATATTAAGGTTTCATCTAAGTGATTGAGATTGTTTAATTTTGGGATTGTGAATCAAATGTTTTTCCAAAGTATATACTGTTGTATTTTACAGGGTTGAGTGGAGTTATACTTTGCTTGATGCTAATGGGTGTTCTCTATTTGTCTATTTGCAAAATCCCTTTCAGGTGGGCCCAGCTCTTGAGAGTGCTCGAGTTAGACTAGTGTAGTTAGTTGCTATTTGGTCTAAACTCTTAATCTTTTATCGTCGTTTTTGGAGTTTATGGATGTAGACATCTTTCGTTTTGTTGGTGATAGACACCGAGGTACTTTTCCCCAAGTTACTTTAATGTAGTAAATTTCGGATGTTAGTTTGACTTGATGTTTAGTTTTACCCTTAACTTGTGCAATCACCATGGGAAGGTGGTTGTGGCGGTGACATTCTTACTAAGTTTGTTAATTAAGTTTGATTTTTCGCTGCTTAGTTATCTTAATTTGGTTTTAGAACTTTAATTACGTTTAAGAAAAGTGGGGTGTTACAGCAGCCTTCTGCCCCTGGGTCGAGGTAGGCCCCAGCCGTGGCCGATGGGTCGAAGTAGACCCTTGCCAAGGTCGACCTTGGCTGGGCCGCGGTCGGCCCCTAGCCGAGGCCTTGGTCGGCCCGTACCGGGGTTGCCATTGGCCCCTTGCACCACGCCTTCCCGGGTTGCTTTGCCCCGAGCCTGTTCCTAATATCCATCATCAGTCCCCCACTCTCCGAGTTGCGAGTCGTCGTCAACGAATGAGAGTAGCCCGAGTCAAAGGTCGACCCCAAGCCCATAGGAAGACGTCTGCCCCGCCTCCTTCCACTTAGGCCGACTTTGGTGTGATTCCATCGGGATCGGGACTTCTTCCTTCTTTCGTGCGCTTTCCTTGATGTGTCCTCGTCTTGGGCGAGCTCATGACGTAGTCATCCTCCTCTTGGGCGAGCTCATGAGGTAGCTGTCCTCCTCTTGGGCGAGCTCAAGAGGTAACCCCCTTGATGCGTCATCCTCTTGGGCAAGCTCATGAGGTAGCCGTCCTCCTCTTGGGCGAGCCCATGAGGTAGCCCCTTGATGCGTCCTCTTCTTGGGCGAGCTCGTGAGGTAGCCGTCCTCCTCTTGGGCAAGCCCATGAGGTAGCCCCCTTGATGCGTCCTCCTCTTGGGCGAGCTCGTGAGGTAGCCGTCCTCCTCTTGGGCGAGCTCATGAGGTGGCCTCCTTGATGCATCCTCCTCCTGGGCGAGCTCATGAGGTATCCCCCTTGATGCGTCCTCCTCTTGGGCGAGATCATGAGGTAGCCTCTTTGATGCGTTCTCCTCGAAAGCAAGAATCATATTGAACATATCCTAACATGACTTCTAGATACGAACAACACCCGAACATGCAATTTCCCACCCAAATATAAATCAAGAACATCACAATACCAATTCCCAATCCAACCTAGGGCTCTAATCCCATCCAAATCATCAAAATCATATTTTATTTTCATTATCAAGAACCATCAAGATTTATCAAGAATCATCACATAAATATCAAGAACCTCTTTTTAACATCAAAATCATCAAGATCCCTCATAAAATCATCACATCAATCAGTCAAGATTATATTACAAATATCATAAAGAAATTCATCAAGACACAAGTATAAAGAGGGAGCCAAAGAAGAAGATTATAGCAAGGAAAATAGGTTTTGTTGAGACATGGGTTACCTCTTAGCCTTAATTAATTTCCTTGGCTATGAAGGGTCTTTCTTTAAGATTTCTTCTTTCTTGATTTCTCCTATGGGAGTTCTTGGGGAATTCTTGTGTGGTGAAAGTTATTGTGGTGTGAGTTCTAGGTGCCTCTTATGTCCCTATATATATATCTAAGAGTCCCAATTAGGGTCTAAGTGGTATGGCTTTGCTAATTCTATTTCCTATAGGACTAAGGGATTGGCTTTAGGGATAAGGGCCCATGGACTATGGTGGACCTTTCCTAATTAATTAATGAAGTTTAATTCTTTCTTTTGGGTAAATGATTAAATAATTAATTGGTTTTAGAGGCCGTAACACGGGGTGTTACAGCTTTGCTGTTCAGATCAGAGGCATTCATTTCATCGTCTATCCAAGTCTCCATGGGCTTTTCCCCATTGGTTCCATCAGCATTCTGAATAGTCGGGCGACTCCACCCGGATAGGACAGTACGATAAACCCTGGTACCTTGTGCTTGGAGATAGGTCTCCATACGAGCCTTCCAGAAAGAGTAGTTGTGACCATCTAGTTCTGGTGGTTTCATACTTGCATCCATCCTGAACAAAAACAACCAGTCAACGAACACACAGAGTCACTTCCAATAGAAAGAGAACAATGCAAAAAAAAATTCCCGTACAGATCAAGTCACTATGTAGACTTAAAAGCTCTGATACCACTTGTAATTTTGCATTTCCTCATTTTTTAATCAAATTAACTGGATTATCTAACTGATGAAATGGACTGACTGATTCAACGATGAAGTCAGTCAGTAAGGCAGATTATTGAGATGTTTATAGAAAGAGATAACGACACAAAGCAACACACAAGATGTTTACCCAGTTCGATACAGTGTGTATCTACGTCTGGGAGACGATCACATAAGCGTCCAATCCACTAAATCATAATCCAATGTACAAAGGTAGAGAACCAATAATCTCACCCAAGTGTCCCACACAAGGTACGTACCCAGTCTACACAGGTTTAGTGGATGGTTGAAGATGGAGAGCCATGCATACAGAAGTCCAATGAAATCCCTTCACTTGGAGAGCCAACTCTGATGCAGTCCACTTCAATAACGCTCTTCTCGGTTGTTCTCACAACAGTGTGATCGTAGCAGCGCCCTTTCGTTTAAGCAACAATAATTCTTCTCAAGTTCTTCATCATAATCACCATGAACATGTTGTATTGAGAAGAGGCATGATAATCAAAGATCTGATCTCATAAAACTGTTTTGGAGTGTTTCTTCCTTCTTGAAAGCGTAACCCTAATTCTTGTTGAATAAGAGTACTTATAGTTCCATAGTAAGAACACTCTCCATAGATATCTTTGATTGTAGATGGTAGGACAATATTTGAAGAATGTAATCTTAGAGATTCGGTCCATACCTTTCCAAGATAGATACACTGATCTTCTTTCCAAATCTGTCTTCTATAAACCGCGTACAGCCTTTAAGGAAACAGCTTCCTAAAACAGACCTTCAGTGTCAGTCCCTCTGTTGTTGTATCCGATTGATCAGTCCTCTATAAAACAAAACCGACACTAAGCTAGTCATATCTTAGTTTGCCATAATAATATTGCCAATTATAAGATGGGGTTTTTTGAGCAATTAAAACACTAACAGTTCTATTTTTCCTTAATTTTCAGATACCGAAATGAAATTTTTTGCTACCGGCGGCAAATCTGGTATTTCTATGAATAGATTGTGTACATCAGTGCTCTCCGACAAAGATAAGTACCTTCTTTACCAGATTACCCTATTTTCGGTTGGTTATACAACAATTTTATGTCGATTTAGGGTTTATAATTTCAGGTATTTAAATGAGTTGTACCACTTGAGTTCTGCTAAAATAGGCAAAATTATATTTAGCTAGGGTTTTCTACTAAAATGTATACTTGTCATTTTAATGTTTTTTCACTTATCTGATGTACATATCTATCTTTTTTGTACTTCTAAACAACAAAATCCAACTTTATAATTCCATAAGCTTGAGGGTGTGAGGGCTTCAATAATTTCTCAAGTTAAATAGTATGTATGGAAAATGAAATGCTGCACTTTAAAAGTTTGCAATAACCTGAAATTATGACTAAAGTAATAAGAAACGGAAATATAAAACTTAGGTTAACCAAATATAACAAATACCCAACACATTATCATTCAATGACTCAAAAGTTTTGAGTCGTAACATGAAATTAGGGAATTTGTTGCTTTTAATACTTTCTAATTTCACAGTGGTAGAATAATTGAACTTAATTAGATACTTGTGGACGGTGGTTAGATGTTTTGTATGTACCCTATATATTAGCAAATAACATATATTTATTAATAAGCAATTCATATGATCAGAATAAATATTACTGCAAAATATGTATTAACCTTACCTCTTCGTCATAGAAGAAAAAATTCTTTGCTCTTACTTATGTTTCCTCCACGCAATTCAGGGACCTCATAAGTTCTGACCAACCGAAATCTTATTGCTCTCCTCGTATGTAGAGGGCTAACCTGAGAAGCAATGATGTACGTGATTGTGCCTATATTCTTATATTATTGTAAGGAAATTAAACTCATAAAATTTAATGTCCTATGCACTAGTCCATGCGATACTTGACCAGGACCAGCCATGAAGCTAAGCAAAAGAAAATTAGTTGCACTAATCTATGGTAAGTTTTGCGATCATTTTATAAAGTGAACAATTAGGTAGGAGATAATGCATGTGTTGTACAATTAATTATTTTCACGTTTAAGAGAGAGATTGTGTGGTTTAGATGGAATGGCAATTATATGAAATCTTTAACCAAACGATGACGGTGATGGGATATATAACTTATTATAATTATTTATGTGGTTGGCAAAAGAGGCAACTATCGGTCTATCACCTACTATTTTTGCAGAGACAGTTTGGTCAATTAGTGAATGATTATAACTTATAACTACTGTTTGATCCGTGCGATGCACGGGATGTAAATTACATATTATTAATTATATTTATGTTATGTTAAAAATTGGGTGAACCAATACAGTAAGAATTTGGAATATAATCATTAAGTATATTTGGGAGTTCAACAAAAACCATATAAAAATGGTATGTTAGAAATAGTAGCAAGGTGATGGTAATATAAAAAGAATACATTAGAAAACTACAAATGATTGAAAACTACATGATATACAACATTAGTGGTTGAGGTTGTAGTTGAACTTGAGTCTTTTGCTATCAATATTTTGAGACCGTCTGGATTATTAACCCGAGATGCAGCTACGTACAACTGACCGTGTACAAAAATCAGTTTCTTTAGTATTAAACCTACATGAGTCAACGTTTGGCCTTGACTTTTGTTTATGGTCATCGCATATGAAAGCATCAATGGGAATTGCCTTCGTTGAAACTTGAACGGAAATCTTGGATCCGAGGGTGCCATTGACATTCGGGGGATTAACACTTTTGTACCTTTGTTGGGACCAGTCAGAATCTCGCCTTCAATCACATGATCTGCTAGCTTTGTGATTATCAACCGAGTTCCATTGCAAAAACCAAGAGAATGGTCAATATTTCTCATTAACATTACTGGTGATCTGATTTTCAAAGTCAGTGTATGATTTGGTAGACCTGAAACCCGAATGCTGTTTAGAAATTCCGGTGTGTGTACATCTCCAAATATACCGTTATCGCCATCGGCTTTGCATACTGCGTCTGAACTGTAGTATGACCTACTTTCGGCACTATGCAAGTCAGTCATATAGTCATTAACAACGTTGACGACGTCGAGCGTTGGTGCTAATATTGCACGACCTAACAGATGCTCGGGGTCAGTGTTTCCACTTGCAAACATAGGAAATGTACTGTGCACAATTGCTTTAATGTCGTCCCCCCTGGATGATACTAACATGTGCATTGTTATTTCAACATCTGCGAACCCATTATTCGGCCCACCAAGCTTTCCATCGCTGATATTGGCAATCCAGTCAGCAAACTCTTGTAATGCCAGTCGGTTTCCACCATTTGGTACCGAGCTGAGCCTGAGGTTTTTAGTCAACCTTAACACTTTGCAACTATCCCATAGGTATGATGAATTGATTGCTGAAGAAACAATGTCTTGCCGTGTACCTTTGGGAACTACTGGAAGAATTTGGCGGAAATCTCCACCCAAAACAACTGTTTTACCACCAAACGTCTTCATTTCACTATTAGGGTCTACAAAACGCAACAAATCCCGCATGGTTCTGTCTAAAGCTTCAAAGCAATGTTTGTTCATCATGGGAGCTTCATCCCAAATGATCAAGCTCGTCTTGATCAGCAATTCAGCCAAGTCGCTACCTTGCTTAATGTTACAGGTAGAGTCCTCATTTATTGCAAGTATTGCAAATCTCGAGTGTGCAGTCCGGCCACCTGGTAACAACAAAGAAGCTATGCCACTTGAGGCGACATTTAAAACGATTTGGCCTTTGCATCTGACTGCAGCTGATAACGCTCTCCACAGGAAAGTCCTTTCTTGTTCCACCGTAACCATAAACGAAAAATAAGCCACCTTTATTGTTTGCAATATCTTGGATAACAGTATCATAAATGAGACCCTGTTCTTCAGTTAGTTTGGCACAAAGCACTTCAGAATCTGTCTTCAACTGTTCCGAATCGTAAGACAACTCTTCAAAAACCAAACGATTTTGAAACAACCGTGAATTATCAGTACTTGGTGTTGGCATCGGGGGGTAGTCTTTTAAAGACTAGTTTTGTTGACCCAACAGGTTTTCCAATTCCAATAATGCAAAGTTCTTTTTCTCTTCCTCTGTTAAGACCAAATCTGTTACAATAACAACATCAAAATAGTTATAAGTATAATCTAGTAAAAATGTTGAAAACTTTATTGTATAGTAAAGGAAGTAACATTACCTTGTTGTTTTAATACTCTCCTTTGATAGTGTTGAGTATCTTCAGACAAATGTTCCCACACTTGATTCCAAACATTTTCGGGTTTAATAATTGATGATGATGTTAGTCAAACAACAAATAGCTTCCTCAATGAATGCGCAGTTGACCAGTAGCTTGCTTCATTTATAGCATCAATGTACTCTTTATCATCGTCTAGCAATCCATGAGCATAACACGCATCTCTAAAGGTCAAGTACTCAACACCGTTAACTGTCCTAATATCTTTGTAACTTTTTGGACCACGGACTATGTTCAATAGACGCCTCAAATAATATATTTCCCCTGAAGCTGGAGGTACATAGAATATTCTACCAATTGAGGAACCCTTCTTTCTTGGATGCCATTCACGTATGTCCTTTTTCCACACAAATTTGGTAGGCATCTCGATGTACGTCAGTAAACTCGCTTCTTTGAAATTCTGATTGGCTACAAACCATGCATTAAACATACTTTGCCCAAAGGTTTCCCTATTGAGGACATTATCAATCGTACCATCGTCTTGGAAAACAACTGATTGGCAGTCCGGCAAGTGAAAGCTTAATCGCTCAACCGGGGGAGTTCTGTACTGTACTTCAAAACTAAACAACCTCCATGTTGCCTCACATGCGGATACGTATCTGCAATCATAGTACATGTTTATCTAATCCACAATCTCGTTACCAGCACCATCGATCGTAGCCTTATAAAACTCAGCAGTGACCCGGCCGTTGCCCTTGTTTACATACTTGAATAAGTACTTAATTGACCTGGATTGGTTACACCACTCAACATTAATATGGGATTTGTATTTCAAGAGCAAGTACCGATTATGTGGTACAACATATCTATTATCCAAATCTATTCCATTTTTTTTATTGTCCTCTTATCATCCCTTCTTCGATACAACGGGTAACCATCTTGGTCAAAATGCGATGCATCAATGTATCTTTTTGGAAAATGCTTTGAACACTTGCCATTTGCCATGCACGGGGATTTAATCCTGGCAGCACCACACGGGCCGTGCAACATGAATTCTCCGACATGTTTGTAGTACTCATTGTCTGTCACCTTGTCGGGGATCTCGGCTGAAATGATCGTGTCCATAAAGGCCGGGTCTGCAAACTCGTTGTTCGCTTGCAGGAACAGTAATATGTGAGCATGCGGAAGACCACGTTTCTGGAACTCAATTGTATATATAACTGTCAATCATGTATTGATATTGTTAGTTATAAGGTTACTATACTAATTATTAGGCGAAAAATGACACTTCGTATGAAATACGTTACACACCTGCCTTTACGCGACCAAATAGTTTCCCATTTTTTATTTCTTTTATTAAACAGTCTAGCTTCATTTTGAAAACACGGCAAACAATGTCCGGACGGTCTTCAACTTTCAAGTTTCTTTTCTCCAAAAAGCGTTCTATCTCAGGCCATTTAGGATTACATGTAAAAGTAATAAAAAGATTGGGATAACCTATAAATCTGCAAATTTCCATGGCGTCTTGGTAGTTTTGTATCATGTACCTTGCTCCTCCCGTGAAACTTGAAGGTAATATTATTCTTTTACCTTGAGAACTGGGTTGAACTTCACCTCGCGTCAACGCATCAGAGAGACCTTTGTACGCCTCACACCTCAAAGCTTTTTGATTTAACCGAATATAGAGTAACCTCGAAGATTCAACCATAGTATATGCATCAACCAAGAATTGCTGGAATAACCTTCTAGCATACATTATAGTTGAGATCTCATTTGATCTTTCGTGTATACGAAACGCGAAGTACTCTCTTTGTGAAACACTCTTTCTTGAAAAGTCTTGTTTAGTACCATGTGTAGCAAAATGTATATCTTCCCTAAAACCATCCTCTCCATATGGAAATAATATTGGGTATTGCAATGGTAAATAAGCTGGGTTTAATTCACTTATTCGTTTCAGGACTCCAGATCTAGACTCGACAATAATATCACGCTGGCCCATGTAAGGGTCTATATCTCCAACAATGAGAGCGGCAACCTCGGAAGTAGTTGGAAGCGCATAAGTTCTGGCATCTTTCGTCCTCTTCCCTATTAATCTCATTCTTATTTGAGTTTGAGGATTAGATTCAATAAACGACTTGGCCATTCGAAATGACTTAACCAACACATTGTGTTCATCTAGCGCTTGCTTAATGTCGTGTACTACCTCAACATGCAATGTAGAACCATTGTTTTGCGCCCTAAATAGTGAAGAATATATAATATTAGATTTTCCGTATTCAGCCATGATCTAACTAAAATATTTTAGTAACACAAAATAGTATACCTCAAAGAGTTGAAGCGATTTTCTATCTCATTCTCTGTATCGTGAATGTATAATTGGGCAAATTTAGGTTGAATACCAACTGAAGGCCGGGACTAAGCTTCCAATGCGATGAAAATTTTGACCATTTATACGGAATATAGGCGGTGATGTTCCGTTGTTAATAGTTCTATCAATTTTCCCACCCATGGACGTGAAGCAGAACATGTTGTTATAGGACCTTATATTCTTTAAAAAACATTTGTTTTTATCACTTGATGTAAAGAATAGGTCGTGCAACTTTTGAGGAGGCTTTGTCATTAATGTCAACTTTATCTTACCATTGACACAACATGCAGAGTATTTTGGATTTTCAGAGCACCTGGAATTGCTTGGCCGTTCATTGTACCAAAAAACGAATTACAATGCTTGCAAACATAATCTGGATCACCAATATCAAAATAATAATCTAGTAAAAAATATATATATTAGTTCGTACGTAAAATAATAATGTAAGATAGTCCCTTTATACAAAGATAATACGTTTTGGTCATAGCACATTTCAAATGAACTCACCATTATTTGAGGGCATATTGTCATGTAACGGTTCAACAACTTCCTGAAAATCATGCATCAAATTTTGGCAATGCTCGATGGGTTCACTCTCCGGCTCTACAATGACTATTTGCATATTATTGTCATTTGTAATATAACAATTACTTTCAAACCCCTAAAAAAACAATATGAAAATAAAAGTCAAAATGATTAGATATTTACTTAAACATTGTAACTGACTAAAATCTAAAAATCTCTCATTCGATATATATTTATACCTAGTTGCGAATTTGGGGTTCGGTTTAAGTCGAAGCAGCAAGTATGACGGTTAGATGTAGGTGTTTTGCCGTGGTCCCCATTGACCGTACCGCAATTTACTATAATTAAAAAGATATTGTAGACAAAATTTGTTAGACTAATAAGTATTAAGTAAACAATTTGACTATATACTCTTATTACAATATTTATATTTGTTGAACTTCATACTATTTGCTACGTTGCTAAACGGCATTCTGCTGCTCAAATCTTGCGTTGATGTAGTATGTATTGTCCTTCGTAACGGAGAAGAAACTGTCCAAATGCAGAAACAACGACTATTATTAACAAATAATTAAGAAAGATCCTTACAAAAAACCGAACTCAAGCGTTTTATTTTAATATAAGTAATAAGCACATTACTGAATTAACAATGTATACCTAGTTGCGAATCCGGTGTTCTATTTAAGTCGAACGAACGATTGCGGCGCTTTGTACTAAGTGGTTTATCACGATCCCCTTCAGCTCGAGCGCAATTTGCTTTAATTGTATAAAAGCCGCACAAAACAGATGTTTGAATGTTAAGTATAGCATTTTACTAATTCCATTTTTTTCGGCTATAAAATTGAACGCGAAAAGTATTGGTTGAGATTCGTACTATTGGATATGTTGCTTAACGGTATTCTGCAACTCAACTCTTGCAGCGGTATATTCCGAATTGTCGTCCTAATTACGGTTGAAGCTGTGAATTACAGTATGAAGTCTATATTAAAAACTTATTCACTAAGGACATACATTGTGTTAAAGGCCAATCTTACCATTTGTAACAATACTTAAAGGCGTACTTAGCGAACTTTGGAAAACACCAAATAGCGGTTTATTATTGCCTGCATTCCGGCTGGATTCAATTGGCGACGTGTAGGCTGCATCAATGATAGTACTATTCTCATTCTCTGCAGAGTAAACACATGTGTCTATCAAAAATCACAAATTGTTTGTTGGATCAATTTTTTGTAATAATAACTGTTAGAAAATAGTGTGTGGCTCAAAATCCTTCAGACCATGTCCTCCCGCGTTGCATGCGCACATCAGCCTCTTCCTACACGTTCTTGCGCCTTTTACTCTAATCCTTTGCATGCCGCATAATGAGTTTCTTTCTCTATGTATAAATAGCTTGTTTAAGCTTTGTAATTAATGCATCAATCATTATCAATTCATCCTTCCTATTTCTTTTTGTCCCCATGTAGAGTATTATATATATATATATATATATATATATATATATATATACATATATATATATATATATATATTATTTATCTTTCTCTTTATAGAGATTAATATATATATTTATATTTTCCCATCCTTATTAATTTATTTGTCATTTCTATAATTTTCTTCATTTATATATTTTCCCTATTATTTAACTTCTATAATTCTCAATTTTCGATCCTTCGCTTCCGCATTATTCCGCTATATTCCTAAGAAGTGGTATCAGAGCGGTTTAATTGAGA